TGTACAAGGATACTCTAAAAACAAATATGAGGCTTTTCCGTCTGGAAACAATAAGGCAATGGTAAGACATGTCTGAAGTCTATAATAGCTTGAGAAATATGACTAGGATGAATGAGCAATTAATTATTTGCCAAGTTCTGGAATATTGAAACTACAGAGTAACCTCTGAAGATTAAAGGACTTGTTTTTGGATAAATAATGAATATAAAATTCATTCCAAGGGGATGAAAATGCAACCCCCTTAGTGCTTTGTCAAGTCCCTACTAAGTTCAACATACTGAGCTGGGCGCTGCAAAAAGAACATGAAAAACAAGAGGGAGCAAAGTCCCTGTTCTCTGCTCCCAAGTTGTTGACAGTCTCATAGAAGGGTGGGACAAAAATCCAAAACGCTGCAATGGAAAATAGATTACTATGATGGTGTAGTGGGTTAAGAGCTTGTCTGCTGACCAAAAAGGTTGGCAGTTTGAATCCACCAGCTGCTCCTTGGAAACCCTAGAGGGCAGTTCTACCCTGTCCTATAGGGTCACTATTAGTTAGAATTGACTTGACAGCAAGGTTGTTGGTTGTTTGTTTTTTTTAATGGGTACAATAAAAGAACTAGAGATAAACAGCTATTTGGGAAAGAGTCATCTTGTGTATCACCAGGTGTCCTTCAATAGCATGATGGTTGCTGTTCTTGTTAGGTGCCTTTGAGTCAGTTCTGACTCATAGTGACCCTGCAGGACAGGGTAGAACTGCCCCATAGGCTTTCCAAGGAGCAGCTGGTGGATTTGAACTGCCAACCTTTGGATTAGCAGCCGAGCTCTTAACCACTATGCCACCAGGGCTCCTCAACACCATGATAGGAAGTCTTTTTCCAGATTGCTGGGTATAGTGCTGTAAGGATTACCTTGCAGCAAAAACACCCTCAGTCTCTGCCTTGACTCCTGACCCACCTGGCATGGAGTCAGTTTACAATGTGGGGAACTCAGATTAAAACCAGGTGCAATCAGATATCTTCTTGAATAGACAGTGCCCGTCATCAGAAAAACTGTCTCGACTTCACCCCTCAGACTGCCCCCACGCCTACAGAAACGTTTAAAATAACCTGAGTAGTTCCGAAGAAGAGCAGGGAGGGAAGAAAGATTTCAGCCAGCATTCCAGACACAAAAGCCATTTCCATTTCTGGGGTACCTTCTATTTTCTCCCAGGCATGTCTGCATCAGCAGTCTCCCTGGACAAAAAGGTGACGCCAAGGCCACCTCTATAGCCCAACAAAACAGAAGCGTAGCTAAGTCAAGAGTCAGGAGCCTGGGGGTGAATCACTTCTGGCCCCAGAGGTCTGCAGCTTAAAAGACTAAAGATTTGAGAATAAGTGTTCAAGCTGTGAAAGCAAAGGCCTTGATATCTCCTGGTAGTTGCACATACTTGCTGATGGAAGGTGGTGTAACAGGAGTCACTATACACATCTGAGGACCGGGAGCCTTCCCTTGAGCCCCACTTTATTCTTGCATAAGGTCAACACAGAAAAGGGATTATGAAACAAAATTAATCCTTTCTTAATATTACTTTTGAAGTCTTTCAAGCCTCTTTAGTTTACATCTTGGTTTTACTCAGAATGGAAGACACAAATCCACAGCGGTTTTTTTTTTTTTTTTTTTTTTTTTAGGGAGGCAAAAGGCACAGATTAGTGTCAATGCCCGCAGGAATAAAACCTGTTTTACCCAGAGAGGAGTAGTTCAGTAAATATTTTCTGACATTCCAGCTCTGCCTTCACTCGCTGTGGGTCCTTTTTGCAATTTACTGACCTCTCAATCCCATTTTCGCCAACCGCAGAGTGGGGATTATAATCCTATTTGGAATTATAGTGAGCATTTCATGAAAAAACAGAAGGCTCTTTAGCACACTGTCTGGCACATATCAAGCTGACAATACCAGGTTGCAATTCTTATATTTTAAGGCAAAGTCATTATCAATTCAAAAATAAACAAATAGGAGCCCTGAATCGTACCTCCCTGTGAACCGAATAAATTTAGATGTGCTTTGCTTGGAGCTTTTTGGACCAGCTGAGGCTTTGCGGGCCAAGAGTCCCTTCAGGAGAGAACTCACTTGTCTGCCATCAAGAATTCTGGCCACCACTTACAAAGCTTGCACGAGCACTCCCCCCGCCCTTCTTAGGTGTCAGGATTGAGCAAAGGCCGGGCTGGAGCAAGACCTGCCAGTCTCCCCGCCGAACCGCGTTCCTTGGTGTCCACCCAGAAACAAGACACTGGCTGGAAGTAAACTTGGACCGAGCGGGGCTCAGGCGGGCGCGCGCGTAGCGGCGGCGGGCGCGCCTGGGCG